ACTGCTGTTAGAGCATTGACTTGTTGAGTGGAAGAGGTTATTAAATTTTTTACTTTATCAGTTAAAGTTTTTATCAAAAAAGACCTTTTGATCTTTACAATTAAGTTTGTATCGTTTTATCCACTCCATATTATCATATAAGTTCAATATATTTTTGCTGGAAAGTGTTTGTTGTCTCCTCTTTTCTGCCATCTTATTACTCCTAACTAGGTTAGGAGACCTCTCCAGCTCTCTTAGGAGCTGTAGGAGCTGAGACCTCTTTTAACACTTAGGAACCTTTATGAATCACTCTTATTCTTAAGTAGAGTAAAATTTGAAACACCTGCCCTTATGTTATGCTCAACGGACATTGTTCTTCGAACATACACAAGACAAGCATTACACCCTGAAGGTGTAATTGATATTCATGTAAAAATGGGCAAACAGACAGCTATTCTTCCATTGTATGTTGAGAATTATCCACAACTCTATGGCAGAGAATGGCTGCGTCAGATTAAACTGAACTGGAAAGAAATATCAAATTGAAAATTGAAGATGCTAGAAGCTGTTCTGCAGAAACATGCCGCTGTTTTCTCTAAACAAATGTTAAGAGCATAGAGCATTAAAGCTAAAATAACATTGAAACCTGAACACAAACCCAAGTTTTGTCAGTGAAAGATTTTTATTTATACATTTTATTTATATATTATATTGCTGCAATATTATTATTATTTAAAGGTCCCATATTGTCAAAACTGAAATTTCCTGGCTTTTTCACGATTAGTGAGGTCTAGGGGCTATTTAACTACCATATAAGTTTCAAAACAGTCAGTCCACAGTAAAATGCACACGGCCTGCTTAAAGTTCTAGCTATTTTTCACGAACCATTGTGACTTCCGTAAAAAATTGACGTCAGAACTACAGTCACTGCCTTCAGTCATCACCCCGAGCACCGCCCACAGTCCCACTCTCCTTTTGCCAAACCCCAGACAACATCACGTCCATGCTTTTGCTGAGCAAGGACAACACGGAAACATGTCGAAAAGGTTAACTTTAACCACGAAACCAGATCGGCTGACCTGTAACGTTAGACTCTCACTCAAAGGATGGACGATCTGACAGGATTGTTACTATGAGGTCGTTTCCCCATAGCGACCCCTAGAGGACGCAGTGTCTCGTTCCCTACTCAGGGAACCATGGTTACATCAGTAACCTGAGACGTTTTTTTCACTCTCTCTATTTAAAGCAGCACTATGTAACTTTTTTCTTTGTTCAAAATTTGCAAAATGTATATAGTTACTAAGTACATCATGAATTCATCTTCCAAACCGCGTTTTTGTCTTATTCCGAATCACTACGGTACACTTATAATAAGTACTTACATTTGGACTATTGTAGCCTGGTTGGGTCGTCACCGCTGTGGAGTAACACATACCTGCGTGAATCGCCATAGACATAAACTTAAGAGAAGTAGCTCTGGTTGGAATGTTCTTCCGTGGGATGTGTGCAGTTCTGTTTATTAACCGCTAGCGCGCCAAAAGTTACATAGTGGGGGAGAGCAGGGGCGAAAGTACCACTTTTCAGAAAGACGTAATTTTAAAAGATAATGTTTTAGACAGAGATATATTTTTGCTGTGGTCAATAACTCACAAGTGTGGTCTATCAATACCAGGTGGTATTTTGTAGAAATGTAAAACGACTTCAGTATAATTTCACTTTGAACATAAATTGTACAGTTACTTTTGACCCCGTCTGTTGGGACTAAAGTAACACACAGGTGGGTCAAAAGTAACAACAATACAAGCTAGATTTTTTTTGTGTTACTCTTATTTTTTTATTAAATATACCTCACTATGGCCTTGATAATATGTAACTGCAAACATATTTTGTCCTTTATCTTTGCAAAAAATGATTAAATTACATTTTCATTTAAAATTTTAATTTCATCAAAAGTAACCCGACATAAACTTGAATTGTTTAGATTGTTTATTGGCAATGTCAATTCATTTTATAAAACATTTTTTCAACAGTATGAAAGTATATAATCCAAGAAACAAACAAAAACAGCCAAGAAACGCCATGTATCAGTGGCTGCAGAAACAAATGTTAGAGAGAGGCTTTGAGAAAACATGGCATATTCTCAGAAGACAGTGGAAAAGTTTGAAACAATACTATATGAGCCGGAAGAGTCAGGTGGCAAAAAAGAGGTTAATTTGGATGGAAACCTGACTAATGTTAACAGGCATTAACAGATAAACAGTAGAAATAAACACGAACATAACAAAAGGCATTTGCCTACTCATTGTCACAGTTGTGACAGATATAATGTTCTGCACCCTCAGTGCATGCCTCATGTGACCAGAGCTGGCAAAAGAGACACTGCACCCACACTTCCCCAGGCAAGGATAAGTTGAATGTTTCCCCACACACAAGACATTCCTCATCCTTGTTCTGTGGTTGTGGGTGCAGTGTTTTTGATAGTGAGTAGCCTTTCCTTTGGAGCGGACGGCTTCTTCTGGATCTTCTTCTTTTGCTCCTCCTCCAGAGCTGCCCTCACCGGAGAATCCGTGAGGATCGCCGTTGACCTGCAACATTCAAAGTGAGAAAAATTGTTGTCAACATTTGTATAAATTTACAGGCAGTTATTGCTCATCCTCTGTCCACATGGTAGCAGCATGTATAAAGAAATTATTCGGGACAAAGCAAAAACCAAATGCCACTCACCTCCTTTTGCCTCTTCGTTTTGTGTCCTTTCTTGGACCAGCCTTAGGAAAGGGACGTACAGCTTCTGGAATGAATGCCTGGACAGAAGTCCTGGAACTCAGGCCTAGACTAGTGTGCCTGTCGGCCCCCCCTGGGACATCAAGCAGACATCTTCCCCCTTCTTCAGGTGGGACAGCTTAATCAGCAGACACAAACAATAATATCAATATCGTGCACAATTCTATTTTAGTTATTATTTTACTAAAATCCTTCGGGATTAACCAAGTTCTATCTTATTTTATCTTGCCTGAACAGACAGCTGGGTGGTATGGGATGGTAGACTCTAAACAGGCGTCCCTGGTTGAACCACCAGGATACTCTGGCAGCAGCCCTCCCTCAAACAGGCTCTGGCTAAGTGGGTGTTTGTTGGAATGTGGTGTGGGACCACATGGTACCAGTGAAGGAAACGGGCGGTCGGTGACATAGGCAGGTGAAAAGTCTTGCTCCTCAAAAATATCTGGGTTAAAGGGGCAGATGCCAGTGCACACAAAGCCAGACGTTATGTTTCTGGGTGTCGCTGCTCGTGGTAGAGCTGTGGCCACTAGGCTTGGAACATCATAGATGGTCAAAGTTTTTCCAGGGTGTGTTCTCATCCAGTGATCTGCTGCCGTGTTTATATATCGCTTCAGTGGACCGAAGACGCTCCTGTCAAGTGGCTGGAGACGATGTGAGCAGTGGGGTGGGAACGATAGTAGGACTATGCCGTTTGACCGACAAAAGTCAATTGCTGCCACAGAAAGGTGTGACCAATGATTGTCGAGGAGGAGAAGCACCTTCGACTCCAGGGTCACACGGGTGTGTCTGGCAAAGTGCTGGAGAAAGGCCAGAAAGTCTGTATCCTGCATCCAGCCTGAGCTATTTGCAGAACCAGCAGAGCCAATGGGACCATTTCTCACAAAGTGGTCCTGGAACTTCTTCCTGGGAAAGATGAAGTACGGGGGAATGCAATTGCCTTGTGCATTTACTGCAAGGGCAGTGGTGACCAATGTCCCCCTCTCCCCAGAGGTCACTGCACCGACCTGGCGCTTCCCCTTGGTGGCAATTATTTTATCTGGCACTTGGACTGTCGTGGTACCTGAAAATTAATTATAAACTTTGATAAGCTTTCATGAACATTTGTAGGTGTGTATACCTAGATGTGTGTGTGTATAGTTAGTGTTTGTATATAGTTACATATTTATTTTCATTATTGTTTTATTATCGCTATATCTGTATTTATTTATTAATTTATTTATTTATTTGTATATGTATTTATTTTAGCTAGGTGTGTGTGTAGTGTTTTTATATAATTATATATTCACCTCATAGTTTTATAATCTGTATATATTTATCTGTATAGGCTACAGTATGTATGTATATCAAGGTCTATAGTTTATATGTTATTAAATTTTACATAGCAATGAATTTGTCTCGTATATTTTAAACCACTGAATCACTCTAGCTTTTTAGTTTTAATGAATTGTAAAATTTACCTGTTTCATCCACGTTCCAAATGTCCTTTGCTTCAAAAAGGTAGCGGGCAAGAACTGTCAGCAGGTTGTTATAAAAAGCAGTCACATTTGTTTTATTGAAGCTGGTGGAACGGGACATGCTGGTGGCTTGAGGTCGGCGAATAGACAATGTATTGTTGCGTTTAAGGAAGGAGGTGAGCCAGTCCTTTCCAGCCATCTTGGTGGCATCCCATACATCTGGATATTTGCAGCCATATCTGCTGGCCAATTCGTATGCAAATTTGCGCACCTAAAACAAAACAAAAATGGTTAGATGGAGATTGTTTATGACATGATTGAGATAAAATAAGACTTTACTGATCCTGCACTGAGGATTTTTATATGTTGCAGCAGCTTCAGAGACGGTGGACAATGAAACATAATTTAGAAAGATAGGACAAAAATGTCAATAAAAATAAAATTAAGATAAAAATGAAAAATATATTTAAAGAATACACAAATGTCACATTTTGATTGGTGATTTATTATATTTATTAGTGATATTGATTTATTAGTAAGAGCAGTGTGAGTGAGCTGCATGTTGAGTGTTTTTGCTGTACTACACTGACCTCCTTAGGAGACAGGCCAAAATAAACATCAGCTGCAGTTTCCTCTCTTGGTCCACAGAGAAGACTTTAGAATGTGATCTGTACCCTGGTGGTCTAGTCTTCTCCCTACTGGTCTCTGCCCTCCTCCTGCAGTATCTGAGCAAAGTGACATGACATATGCCATGCGACTTAGCAGCTGCCCTGAGACTGATGTTCCTGACATGTATGTCCAGAAACGCCCTCTCATAAATATCTGGCTGAATCAGACCCCTGTCTGTCTTTCTGACCCTAACTCTTGGCATATTCTGTTGGTGTAATATGACATATGTTTTAATAAATGCTGCAACACCAAGAAAGTCACCACATTAGCAACGGGACAAAAGTAACAAGTGTTACTTCCGTCCCAAAAGGAACTCCTGACATTTAAACCCGATTTACTTTTTTACTGAAAAACTCTTGACGAGGCAAACTTTAGGATGTGTTACAGCACTAAATAACATGTAGATTGATCATTACTGTGACACATGAAACGAGAAACACAACTTGTAATTAGAAAAAAAGTACAGCTTCAGTAATTTACTTACCGTACTTGAAAACTGCTTGCCGGACCTAACCGCGGGAAGCGATGACGAAATCACGTGATATTTGGCAGCTCCGTCAAGGGTTGCGTGCTGAACGTGCTGTCATAGCTTGGAATGAAAATGTAATCAGGTCTCTGAGAAAATCGCTTTGTTACTTTTGTCCCGCGTTACTTTCGCCCCGGTTCTCTGTATAAACCGGCAATGTTTTGAAATCACTTGTACCCTACCTGATCGAAAAAATCCAGTCTTTCACTCTGCCTGTGTCAATTTGAGTCTTG